GAGTTGTCTATAACCAGGGCCCCCGGCTTTAAAACCATCCAATTTATTCTAAAGATTATTTGGGGGCAAAGCAGTGCGGCATGAGTAATGGCAACTAGGGGTCACTGGAAAAGACCATGCCAGACCTTTTATTTCTGGGACGCAAGGTGAGAACGGGCAAACCCACAAGGGGTTTCCTGCCATGCAAATTACACAGAGGCTATTCCACAGCCTGGTTTAAACCCTCCCCCCCACCAAGGTTCAAGCTTGGAATGCACACAAAAGCATCCACTCTCTGAGCATGTGCAGAGTAGGTTCTTATTATGCCTGAAGGCTTCCAAACGTCTGAGATCCTGGACTGCGACGCCTCTCCTTCTGGAAACCGACCCTGATCTTCCTCTGGCCTGGCTGTCCTGACGGGCGCTGGGGGGGACCTGCTGCTCCTCTTGCTGCTGCAAATCCCCGTCTTGCTTTGAAGCAGCGTGAGCAGAGAGAGCCGGCTGGCATCCGCCAAAGCCTGCTCTTCCCACGGGGTGGGGCGCGGGACTGTTTTCTTGGCACTCCAAATGTGGTGCCATATGGTAGCGTTTGAAAGAGGCCCAAAGAGAGAAGAGGGAGGTGGACGCCATCCAAGCCCACCCGCCTGGCACCCGAAGCAGTTCTGGGTCCCCAGGAAGAAGGCCAGAACCCTTCCACAAAAGAGGTTGGCTGCTGATCTGACTGTGGGATTAGTACAGTGGGGTAGCTCCCTGCCTGCCTGCCTGTCTGCTGCCTGGGGGGGCTTCTATCAGAACTTCCCCCTCCCAAAGGAAAGAAACCAGCCCGGGTCATTGCAGAGAAGGGAGAGACCCTGCAGGAGGGGAAGTGGGGGGGGGGGGCGAGGAAGCAACCTTCTCGGCCCAGGCTTTGTGCTCCTGATTCCGCCATCAAAGGCCTTCTCCTCTGTTAAGGTCAGGAACGGTGCACCCAAATCCAGAGCCTGTCAACAGAGAGCACCCCAAGGTGCCCTTTCCTTCCATCAAAGCAGTGCAGCAGAGTCACGGGTCCCCCCAAAAGGACTCCACTCTACTTGAAGGACACCCCACTAACACTACTGAACTCAACCAAGCCGCGGCTGAACCCCGAGACCAGCTGGGGGCCGCAGCCAGGGTGGAGGAAAGGAGCCGACCGCCAGCACATCTCCCTCCCCCCAGTTGCTCAGCACCCCCGTGCGAATGGGGCTACTCACGAGGGTTTGAGGTGAACGTGGGGTGCCGCGTGGATCCCTGGGAGACAGCTGGTGATGGCGGTGGCATGTTCGGGGGCGTGGACCGGGACTGCGTCTTCACATCGGCCGGCGAGTCGGGCATCGTGGCTGCCTTGTCCTCTGCGCTGCCTGCAAGGGGGAAGCAGAAACGGGGGGAGAGGGGTGAAGCGCCAGGTCTGAAGGGGGAGGCCAGGGATGGCGTGCCAAGAGGCCTTTGGACCACAGCTGGCATGGGCACTGGTTGAAAAGGTGGCGAGGCCAACCACCTGCGGGAGAGGAGCGGGCCCAGGGATCTGCGGGGAAGGGGCAAGGGGCACCTGGTCGCCATGACATCATCATGCAAATAAGGCAACTTACTGAACGGGTGAGATGACATCATGATGCACCGAGCGCAAGGCTAGCTGAATACGCTAGAATTTCCCCGGCTTTTGCAACTCCTCAAACCGACTGCTGCAATTCGGGACCTGAGTTCTCACAAACCATGGTAAGCCACGGCTTCTTGCCAGGATTCATGGAGTAAACCACAACAGCGCCCGAGTTCCCCTCTACAGCAGATGGGCCGCCCGGTTATGAGCAGGGGCTGGGTCCTGGGAGCACGGGACCCCTGTGTTTGGGGGGTGTCTGGCTCCCAACCATTTCCAAGCCAGCCTAAAGGACACCTGTCACCCCCCCACCCCACAGTAAGATTAGGCCTTTGGTGGGAGCATCTGCTTGAAGGACAGCTGGCTCGCTTCCATCTCTAGCGCCTTTTTGATCTCAAGCGAAAACTTTTCTGTGTCCCAGATCCCTTAAACAACTCAAACTGGAATCACCCGTTGGGCTAAATCACGGTTTGTCAGGCAAGCCCCAGGAGCCCGAGTCCCACATAACGCTCAGCCACGGTGCACGGTCTCCAAGCTCACTCATCGTTCTAAGCCCCGACCAAGCAGACTCCTCAACGCTTAACGCGAGACGTGATCCGCCAATACCATCTCAACCTTTTCATCTCAAAATCTGCATGTTGGATTCCGGTCTGGCTGTAGATTGTCGTTTATGCTGTGGATCTATGCTGTGATTTTATGAGCTATTTGGTCTCCTAATTAAATGTGCGTGGTGAGGAACTTTGAAAACGCGTGGTATTTTAATGTTTTCACAAATAACTAGCAATGCCAAGAACACTGAGGCTGGACCAGGCCCCCCCCCCAGCTCACTTCCCCAGCCCACTGGACCCAGACGCTCCGAGGAACGGGCAGCCCGGTCACTCTGGCAGAAGGGGCGCCACCTCTGACCCTCGTGGCCCTTCCAGCAGCCGCCCAGGGTTGTCTGGGGGTGACCCAGCGGGGGCAGAGCAGGAGAAAGGGGGTGATTTCAGGGAGAGAAAGAGGGAGCAGCAGCTGGCACATCCAACGGCACCTGCCGCCAACCGCACGGGCTGCCAAATTCATTTCTCTCCCTGCTCCATTAAGGAGGATGCTCTTGAGTTTGACGGCCCGGCACAAGTGTGCTGGCAGCTGCGGCAATCCATCACGGAGCCTCGCAGCCCCAGCCAGGCCGGGGCTCGGGGCAGAACCAAAGAAGGACGGTCTCCCCTTTGCCGCCCTGCTCGGGGTCAGCCAGAGTCTCCTCGGGGGACGCTGCCTTCGTAAGAGCAGTGAGTTTTCAGGGGCAACGGATCAGCTCTAATCCACAGCAACTGTGGCACCATTAATTGAACTTCGCACACGAGAGCGCGGGAAAGGACACGGCCTGGGCTAAATAAAGCTGGGAGCCCAGCCAAAGGCAGATGTTCCTCGGGTGTGCTGAGGCTGAGCGCTCAGGGGACAGGCCGTCTGTGCGGGGAGCCAAGGCTGGGCTGCCTGAAGGCAGAGAAGCCATTTGCCAAGGTTTGCGGGCATTGGTGCCTGGAGCCCAGGTCTGGGCAAGAGGCCCGCCGGCACATTCCTGTGGAGGGCACCTTCCTCAGGGACACAACTAGCCCCTCTGACTTAGATGGGGCTGCAGCCTTTCAGGGCAGAGAGAGGACAAGGGATGGTCCCTGGCCCCCGCGGCAGGCAGCACAGAGAACTGGACTGAACTGGCTGAGCAATATGGATGAATCCAATCACTGTGGTTCAGACAGACAGACAGACAGATAGATAGATGGGGGGAGAGAGAGGGGGAGAGAGAGAGATGGAGAAATACCAGGGCCTGAAGGAGGAACTAGAGAGGATGCAGAAAGTCAAGGCCAAAGGGGTCCCGGGGTGGTGGGAGCACTCGGGGCTGGGACTCCTACGCTGGGTGAGGGGCTCCCACAGATCCCAGGAACAACCTCGGAGCTCTCTGTGCAGAAGAGTGCAGGGCTAGGAACAGCCAAGATCCTGCGCAGGATCCTCAGACTCCCGAGGCTGAGGATTATTAGGCCATCCAGTGTCTCCTACAGAAAATATTTGGAAGTCTTAGAGGGCTGCAATTCTGACACAGGCATCTTTCATCTGATTGCCAAGGAAAGTCCCTCTAGCATGCCCAGATGCGGGGAAGGAGCACCGTCTGTGCACCAGCCAGGCTGTGCCCGAGAGCAGGCAGATTCCTCCGCTGCCCCAGGCAGCGAGGCAGAAGATTACCGGCCCCAGACACGGGTGCGGCCGCTCAGGAGAGGAGGTGGCCGGACCCTCTTCTGGGTTCTGGAGAGTTCCCAGGCGGGATCCAGGCAGAGGGCTCCTTCCAGAGAGCTTTCAAAGCCATCCTCCCTCTGCAAAAGCTGCTCCTTGTGGCAAGGCCAGGATGAAGCCACCTCCTTCACCATTCTCAGCACGCAGCTGAGTCGGGGCCAACAAACACGAGCTTTGCTGGTTATAAATCAGCTCGGCAGAGGCCAAGGAGAGGGGAGAGCCGGCTTCAGCTTCTTGGAGCCCCTCCCGGCCTTGCAACCCATTCCCATCCTCTGTCGGTCTGTCTCCCTGGGGCGGGGAGGCCAAAACACTCCTTCTCCGCCGCTGTGGACGCTCGGGGTTTAAAGCCCGAAGGGTGAGGGTTTGCTGTAGGAAGGGGCTGACCTAGAGTGATACCAACAGAGAGCATCTGTGCGTGCACCAAGCGGGTTTCCTGCAGCACGTGGATTACAGGGCCCTGTTGGAAAGAGGCTGTTCCTGAGCCACAAAAGCATGGGTTTCCGGGCCTAAGTGCGCGCCCCACTGAAGGACAGCGTGAACTCAGCAGCCGCACTTACACACATTGC